AAAAAAAAAAAAAGAAAAAAGAAATCTGTATGGTTTTATCTATATGGTTGAGAACAACTATCACACCTGTTCCATTGATTTAATAATCTTTTACAAGTATTACTTTAGTATATTTACATTTAGCTGTTTATGAGAACACTTTTTCTCCTAGTATTTAAAAAACGATCAACTGAAACGAAACTTTCCAGAATATTTTTATTGTTATAAATTGAATTTATAAAGCAGGGATCCTTTTGTGCTTAAAAGTATTTTTATGAATAATAGCTGGAAAACTTGTCGCATCTTTATTTCATTACATTTTCATTGTTTTAAGAATTTAAAGTAAGAAAATACAGAGACAACTTACTGTAACATTTCAACAGTCTTATAACTTGAAACCCAAACTTGCATAATTTTTACTTGTTTATTAAATATATTAAAATGTAACCTCTTAACAGATTATGATGTTTACCAACCAAAATTTTAATTATCTTAAGCACATTAATATTATCTAGAAATTTAAAATCATTGATTTTATTCTTGTTGAAAAGAAACAGCATCACAATTATTAAGGACAATTTAGATGAATGTAAGTTGTATCAATTATTAATACATGTCCAATATTTTATATATATGCCAAACAGAAAGGCAATAAAAATTGACAGAAGATCATATTAATCTAAGTGATTACAAATTCTGAGTGATTTGATATTAAATTTTTATTTTAATTAAAAGTTTAATTTGCAATTAAACTTTTTCTACATAGTTCTTAGCAATTAAGACCTTGTTGAGAATTTGTATCCAAGACAAGGTGGATGTCATATAAAACCTATAGTACTTCAGAATGATTTTCCATTAGATAGTACTTCTAATGGAAATAGAAGAGCTCAACACACATAGAATCATGCTTCTGTAGGTTAATCAACATGGATTCTAAGCTATATTGGGAGAAATGATCTCTAGATTTATTTAACACATACTTAGTCACCAGACTCATTATTCATCTGAGATTAGTACAGAACAGATTTTTACATGTATGTTAACTCCTCCCAGGTATCCTCTGTAGGAACAGTTGTAACCAACGGTAGAAAAATCTTTACTATTCAATTCATAGAACAAATCTTAGCATGGAGTCATTAGCACATGTCTCAGCATAGTATTGCATGGAAAATAAAATACTAGGGAATTTTTTAATTATTGAAAATGAAATCTCTCTTGAGAAATAGCAAGAATTAATTTTAAAAAACAAAAATAGAAAATAAAAGATGTAAAACTTTTTAAAATTTTGAGGATTTACTGATTACTATAGTTCACCTACCCCTTTTTTTAATATGATTTGGTAAAAATCTTGGTTTGACTCACTATTAGTTGTAGCCTTCCTAGAAGTATTTAGGTTTTAACTTTAGAAGAATCGGGAATTATTTGAGGAGTGGACTATATAAAACATGGTATGATGTTAGAACCAGTAGTATTTTGTTACTGGAGGGCAATGAATTAACCAGAAGCCTGCTAATTTCTTATTATTTTTTTTTTTTTACTCTTAATGGCTTTATTGTACCCAAATTACAACTTTTGAAATGTTAAATGCAAAAATATGACTTCAAGTAATTTCATCTGCTTTTCCTGACACTGCTGAACCTTTAAAGTTATGCTTTTGCTCATATCTGAGTAATTTTGACAAATATATATTAATATAATGTAAAACATAATGCCCATATACAATTGTATCTTTAATATAAAAACATATCCCATTTTACCTACTTAGAAATATTATCTATTGAGGATGTAACATAAGCAATGCTATTTTGCTTAATGAACGTATGACACTTAAAAACATTCTTAACATCTTACACTTTTAAGGTTTTTCTGTTAGACATAAGAACTTTTTAAAATATCTTAATGAATTGTTCAACATGTGTAGATGGCCTTATATAACATATTATGTATATAGTAAGTGTATATGTTTAGAAGTGAAGTGAACAATAAATATGATTCCTAACATTTTTGTGTTTATTTTTAACACAGCTGATGATGCTATATTATACTCTTCATCTATATTAAATTTACTCTTTAGGATAAATGATAAAAATATTATGATAATTTGTTAGAATGCTATTAGTTACCTGTTTATTAATATGAGGTTAATGTTTACATTTTCAGACGGGCCTTAAATTTATTAAAAATTAATATTTTAGAAGATAATGTGATATTAAGAACTCAGAACTTCACATTTAATTGCTTTTAAGTATGGATCCCTAAATTCATGTGGAATCAACTTGTTGGTGATGTTCAACATATTAAGTAGGTGGATAATTTTTTGCCAAAGTAAACTTCATTTCACCACTTCTTCAAATCTCTGACTGTATTCATTGATAGGAAAGTGACTCTTTTGGTTTTATTCATTGAACTTCTTGAATTTTTTTTTTTTTTTTTTTT